TGTTTTTTCTTCTCAGTGTATGATTACGACTTTTATAAATGTGTTCCTTTTTAGTGTGTTAGTGACAAATTATTAAGAAGCAGATGGAAATTAAATAAGTTTCTGACTGCCTTATTTAAAGGAACACATTTTACACATTAGACTTTATTGTTCTTTGAATGCCAATGGTTAATATGTTTTTGGGCAGAAAACATTTGCTTTCTTCCTCCTGTGGCCTTGACCCAAAGCTCATTGAAATCAGTGGGAATAGTTCTGCTGACTTCAAAGACCTTTAGATCAAGCCCAGTCCCTTCTGTGGTTTACAATTTCATTGTTAAATACCACAGAACAGGAAATATTTGTTTCAAGTTATTTTTCCTTTCATTTGCCATGTTGAAAAAACCAGCCTGAAATCAAGATGCTGTGCAAGATACATTGCCCGACGAGTGGTACCAAACAGGCAGCAGACAGAGCCCTGTAAACAGCTCGGAGGCTCAGGTACAAGTACTTTCCCACTTTTTGTTTGCAGACAAAGGTTACTTCTCCCAGGAAACACAGCAGCCTCCCTGCACACACTTTGCCCATCTGTGATCGGTGAACTGGGCATTAGAGTTGTTGCATCCTCACTCTTCTTCACCGCTTGTCCTCAGCAGATCATCAGACCAACACCTCTCCAAATCCAACACTGAACCTAAGTGTGGGCCTCTAGAACCACAGCTTGAGTCTGGGAAAAATATTTACATAAACACCTTTCCCAACTGTATACCTTTATGGCCAAACTAAGTTGTCCTTTGAAACCTGGGAAATTCAGACATGAGACGAACAAGTCTACCAAATGACCCAACTCACATGACAAAGTGCTTCATAGCCCAGAAGCAGTAGACTCTCTGCCCGTTTTGCCTGTGTCTCTTCAAACATTGATCACAAATACATTACCAACAATATGTTAAATGACATTGAAAATCAGGACACTTAAATGATAAGGATGCATTTTAGGAGAGCGCGCAATGACCTCGTCACAATCATTGCCCCACTCTTGAGGCTAATCCCATAAACAGCCCACTGGACACCTGCATGGATAAACTCTACAGCTGTTGCAATAATAAACACCCAAAAGCAAGATGGGCTTTTGAAAGGGTTAAAACCCCTTGCACTTCATCGCGTATGCCTTAGGAAGGGGAAAGAAGACTTCCACACAAGGGGGTTAGGAGACCTCCAAGTGGGTAGGCTCCGTGTTCCTCTGCAGATGGAGGTGGCCAGCAGTGGTGGGATGGATGGGCCACAGAAGGATCCTCCCCATGCTGCTAAACACGACCCTGGGGCAGGGGTGCTCTTGTTGTAGCATGGCAAAGGGCTCGGTTGTTAAACAGCTTGACTTTTGCTTTTAGAGTGGTTGTCACTCTCTTTGTCTTGCCAAGCCCGGCTAAGGCTGGGAGTGTGCAGCCGTCAGACTTCCTAAGGCTTGCCTCTAAGGAGAGGCACCCGCTGCCAAGCTCAACGGACTACACAGGGAAACGCTGCCCATTATCGGATACTCAACACAATCCCAAACTATGTTCACCCCGCTCATAGCTGCCAGGGGGTGCTGCTTGCTTTTATGCTTGATCCCATCAGCTGTGAGGTTCTCTGGCTCCAGAGAACTTGGTAATGGTTTTGTTGTGCTGCTGCCATTATGTCATTGCATGTTGCTGGCTTTGATTCCTCTTCTACATTGTGAGGTCCCAAATAAGTGTCCAAAATGCTCAGTCCCTACCATCCTCTGTGTTAGTTCTGTTTATATTTTTTCTGTCCAGTGTAGGTGAGGTTTAAACACCTGTTTTAGTCTAACACTTGTGTGGACTCTGTCATTATTTGAGGGACAACATATGTTGTCCCTTCCAGCAAGAGAGACGGTGTTCAGTGTCCAGTTTAGGCATTGGAAGCTGGGAAGCTTGTACTTCCCATGTCTGGACTTGCTTCTTTCCAAACGATCTTGCACAGCACTAATACCCCTGTCAGTGCTTGAATACTTGTTTAGTGCTTCTTCTATCCAAAGTACGTCAGAGACCTTTAGTCCACCATCAGTACCACCAGTAGTGTCTTCAGACTCCCTGCTGACACACTAACAACTCTTTTTTTTTTTGTTCTTAACTTCTCCCAGATTACCCTTATTACTGAGCTAGAAGACTTGCAGAAACTTCCTATGAAGACATCTACCCTTTTACTATCGGTCAATTAAAACCAAGGGGGAAATGGAAAAAACAGAACACAGCTGCCCAGATCATCTCCAGCATCCATTGTTTAGAAGTTTTCTTCAGAGGCCAGCAACCGTAGGTCCTTTGGAATGGGCTCAGTATTCGTTTTTGAAGGAAAATTGAGATGACAATTACAGACTCAATAATTTCAAGGGAGATGATTTCACTGTGATCGTGACTCAACATGGGGTTGATCTAAAACCAAGAAAATTTGTCTTTGGCTCAGCAAGAAATCAATGTTTTTTTCCTGGAGATGCAGAACACAAAAGCTCACATGCACAAAATGATGGGCTGCTAAAATTAGATGCACTCTTGTAGTCTTCTGGTTATTCCCAGATACCCCAAAGTAGGTCATTCAAACCTTGACAAAGACATTTTCCTCAGACTTGTTGACATTTTAGAGCTAGTGGAAAAGACCACCTGATGGGAGGATGTTATCAACATGTCACACTCGGGTTTCGCTCCGCCTTGGCAGCGTTTCTGCACTGCGGGAGCACCACAGTGTTACGACGCCAAGCTTTTTTCACTTCATTGGAGCTGCCTTAGCAGCTTGTTCTTACCAGCCGTTAGAAGTCACAAGAAAATCAAATTCCTATACATTTCCATTAAAGGGAATGAAAGTAAGAGATCAATAGAAACCTTTAGCTGGTAACATATCATAGGGGTTTTAAAGCTTTACAAAGCAACTTCCCGCACAAGTCATGGGGCTCTATTAAACTACTGTTTCGGGAGAAACATGAGAATCACTGGTTGCTCGTTAGCTGATCATGGCTATGACCTCAGCTACGAGAAGATCTTCAGAATCTTTACTCGCACCCTAAAAGGGTTTCTGTGCCTTTATCCCCCTTCCTGGTTATTGCCATAGCTGAACAATGACTGTGATCTTTCAACTGATCAATGCTCTATTAAGATGGATGCAGTAGGAAACAGATACAAAGATTCTGGTGAGACAGAACACAAATAAAATAGGATTCTGCAGAAAGCAAAATAGATTTCTATATGAACTATCTTATCATCAAAAGCACAGTGCTGGTGGGGAGCAGAAGGGTGCAGTTCCATAAAGAGCTCCAGGTAGGGCATATTCCTTAAATACGTGAAGGGCAGCTGCTTTTCAAAAGCATTTTATTGCAGCAACTTTGCCTCAAAGGTAAGACAGCTCTACTTTTTATCCTTGTGCTAGTCTGTCCTTTACCTGGGTGCTGTGGGAAAGAGGTGTCAAACTGCCCCTGCTTTCCTTCAAAGCGCTACATAGCCAACTTACAAATTACAAGGCAAAGGAATCACAGAATCATAGAATCATAGAATGCTTTGGGTTGGAAGGGACCTTGAGAGATCATCGAGCTCAACCCCCCTGCAGTGAGCAGGGATTGAACCCGTGAACTTGGCGTTATTAGCGCCGTGTTCTAACCAACTGAGCTAACCCAGCGTGTCAAAGAGATGCAAGGCCATCGATCCTCCAACGATGTGTGCTCCAGCACATATGGGGGACGTTCAAAAAGAGGGGGCAACCACCTGGAAGGAGCTGATCAAGTGAGACCAGCTTTATGTTGGCCCAGGGAGATGTTTTTATGGACAGCTTAGTTTGTCAGTACGGGAGCACTGGTAGGCGACTCACCTGTGTACAATGCATTATCTCAGAAGACATGAGGAAAAACGAAAGCAAACTTAGTAACTAACTGAACTAGTAATGGAGAAGAGATTGTGGCAATTTCTGTAGGTGCATGCGTGGAGAGGGTCTGTAATGGAAGAAGAAAGATCACCTGACTGAGATGTGCCGCCTGGAGCACTCAAGCCCCATTTGCAAGCTGAGGGCTTGCAAACTCCCACCTATTTTCCTGACCTGTCAGTCTACAAAAGCCACGTCATAATTACCTCTGCTCTTTTAAGACCCCTGTTATAAAACTGTTGGCAATATAAATATTTACCAAAGTAGTCACACCTTGGTATGTGACCATGTAACGTAAGAACTTCAAGCAGGAAAAGTGGATTTATGGTGTCCATAAAATTTTCATTCTAAGTTTCTTGACTTCCACTTTCCCCGCCATTCATGACACCAATACTGTAGTCCTGCCGCCCTTGAGCATTTGCAACTAATTTTTATTTTCATGTGTCTGTCTTGTGCTCACTGGTTCTTGACAGGACTTTCTCTGCTAAAGGAGTCTCATTTTGTATGTGAAGCTGTGTAGCGCATACACAGCAATCTTTAAATCTCAGTTTTGATAGTTTCTCTGCTCTGTAATAATTAGATGAGCCTTTTCTCACATTTTCCAGTTTTTCAGCACCTTTGCATTGGATATGGATAGTAGAACCAGACACAATATTTTAGAAAGTTTAGAAAGTTTTTAGTAACATTGCATAGCAAGATACTACTTTCCCCAAGTTCCCCTTCTCTTCCAAGGCACCATTTCAGCCTTCTTCCTAGAGCATAGAGTTCATATGAGCTGTTCATTCACTGTGACCCCATGCAGTTTTTGAGAGTCACTACTTTTTGCTCTATATTCCGTCACCCCGCCCATGTGATCTCCATCACTTGCTCCTTGATAAATTGCTTCACATGTCACCGTATGAAATAGCAGTTTGTTTGAACACACCTAGACTACCAATCTTGCTCTATACAACTTTCCTCTTCATTGTTTGCCATGCATGTGACAAGTGGTGACCATTACCACTGTGCCTCTTTTGTAATCATCTCTCTTATTTGTGTGGTGGAACTGCCCATCGCATAAAAAATGCTAGTCTAAATAACTCCACCTTTGCAAAACCAGTGTGAAAACTAAGTTTACTCACCTAGTTCTTCTCTTCCGCATTGCAGTAAAAATAGGAGGAAAAGCTATTTTGTTTACTTGTCAAACTATAAATGTATACAAACACACACAGAGTACTTGGAGAACAGAGTGGCTGAACAGAGTTTTGTAAGAATCCCTAGATCTCGAACCCCAGAGACATATAGTCTATATTCAAATCAAAAGGGTTCAGTATGTGCAGGCATTGGACAACCAGACCTGCAATTAATGCTGTGTACCATAATACCTGGACTTTTAGAATTTACTGCGGAGCTAGGCACCTAAAACATGGGTTAATCCCACTTTTGATTTCGATGCCTAAATTAGGAGCTTTGTCTTCCTAGAGAAAGAGAAGGAGGTGGGGAAGGGAGAGGTATCTGGGTTGAATGAAGCTCTTTTGGTAACCCTATCTCAGCTTACCTATAGAGGGAATCAAGGACAATTAGGCTTGTAATTTAGGCCCCCAGCTATGTACCTAAATGGTAATCCAGATCCAGCAGTCCATACACACTGAAGAGTTAGACTTCAATACTAATATTAGTATCAATGTCTGCACCCAGGCACCTCAGACTAGAAGGAAACCAGGAGAAAGGTGTATTTGTAGCTGTATCCTCAACAGCCTTTGGCACTTACCTTCATGCTGCAGTTCCCCAGCACTTGAAGCTTGGATTCAGAGCCTGACGTTACATTCTGCATCTGGAGGGTAAGCAGGGAAGCAGGGCAGATTCTGGTCACCCTTCTCCCTGGACTATTTCTCATGTTTAATTCATTGGTTGCCTACCATGAACTACGTAAGTAGTCCTAGGTACAGCAACCCAAGATCCTCCACTCCCTATTGATACCCAAATGCCTGGGCTGAATATTTAGGCCTGCTTTGCTTCTGGCTTTCTAAATGGTCCTTTCCTGGCAGCACACGATAGTCCAGCTTAAGCAGAAATTAGATAGTGCTCTGCCCTCAACCTTCTGATTGGTAAAGCAAGCTCTTAAGAGGTGGCAACTGTGGAAGCAAAACCCCGGAGAACAAGCCAGGCTGGTCGCTTGGTAAACGTGTGGTGTGCTGTACAAGGTGGAAAACACCCTCATCTCACAGCCCAGGTGACTTAAGCATCTCGGCACACATAGCCAGCTGGGCCGTTTAGAGAATTTAGGATGGCTAGAGTGAAAGGATGACTTCTTCCTGAATGCCAAGTGCTCGTTAGTGCCAGAGCGCCACGCCAATGTCAACCGAACCAAGAAAGGGGCATTACTGAGTGCATTTAACAGCACGATGGTCTCCTCCTAACATGGCAAGACCTGCGAATCTGAAATTCTGGGTTGTTTTCCCCTTAAGTTTCAAGGTTGGTGGTTTTTCTCTTCCTTGAGATCTGTATCACCCCATTACTAATAAAAAGAATGCGACCTGCTCCACCCCTTTCAGGTCGATGTTGACCTCTTCGATCACCACAGCCTGACTTCCCTTTTTACCTTTGGAGGAACCATACCTGTGCGTGACAGCCGCTGAAGCTGTAACTCTTGGGAGTGGCTATGAGTGGCACTCACAAGACTCATGCTGTTCTGTTTAGATACTGAGATAAATAATCTTGTCTTCCATTGCTTATTATTTAGTCTGCAATTGCTCGTTGTATTGATATTTCTCTGAGGCTGTTAGAAAAGACACAAGCCTAATTTATCAGTCGCAAACACTTTATGAAGACAGCTGGGAAGCAAAACAGATGTTCAAACTAAATGCTTGAAACAACCTTCATCAGGAGGATTTTGTTAATTCCTCTCAGGCTTTTGGACTTTACAGCTCTACCAAAATAACATTTTGGTAAAACTCTTGTAACTGTACATCCATTACCCAGTTTACCGAACATGCTCTCCACCCGGAGGCTAGCAAATGCTGCTATCGCAAGGAACAGCAGCAAACTAACAACTCTTGGCAATGCACGTCACACCACAGCTTTTTCAGAGCTAACACTGGCTCCTCTTACGGAAGTTGCTTGGAACAAATAAAGTTTAGTTAACATAGTTGCAACGTAGTATGTGCTTAAGAAAAGCCTTTCTTTCACTAACTCCATGAACACAGATCTAGAATTCTGGAGTATTCTCACCTGTGACTTGTGGCATGCAGGTGTCATTTAGCTACCATTTTGCCGGAGATTTATGTTACAGAAAATAGGTATGATTATTCTTCTGTATCTTTCAGCAAACACCTTGCAAATCTTCAGCTCTCCTGTCACAAGTCTATTAGCTTTAATTACATTGTGTACATCTCCCCCTGCCAAATTTAGGAGACTGCCTCCAAGACAGAGATATCACAGCACCTAAAAATGAAGCCGTTGTGAGAATTTTTAACATAGGAGAAAACCAAAAAGCATTTTACTAGCCTTGTTCTCAGGAAAGGCTCAGCTGCTTTGACTGAAATAAAACTCTTAGATAAACAACAGCCATATAAAGCACCTGCCCGCATGGCTACAACTGAGAAAAAGGTCCTAAGCATGGCCCTTCTTGAAAAGATTACACCTGCTCTGCTTGTAGGCGTGCTGCTGTAGTCTGGGACAGAAATTACCTCCTGCTATTGGAACTACATTGAATTTACTTCAATTCAGGTTTTCTCCTGAGGTGTATTAAATTACAATTAAGTTAATCTACTTCAAATGGAACAACTTTATTCATAGAAACATTATCAAAACAGTAGGTAGGGAGAATGAAACCCAGGATTTCAGAGGTGAACTGCTAAACCACATGGGTAACCCATTGTACAATTTGTGGATCGTTATAACTAGTTAAGTTACAGACTGGAATTGCAATAAGTGAATGTGATGTCCAATTTACCACTGCTGACAATTGACAATATATAGCCCAGCCCTTTTAAGATGTAATTTTTAATTTTTATAACATCTACTCTGTAGGCAGGTTCTGCCCAAGTATGTAGAAAAAACAATTTATAATAATTTATAACAATTAAAAAAACCCACAGCTGAGAAGCCCTTAGTTAGGGCAAACCTATGAACTTCTGCAATAAATGACCAGACGCCATTAAAATAGGAGTTACTATTCTACTGCACACCCATCATAACACCTTACTAGCTACTGGATTGCCAACGGATTACTTCAGCTGTAAAAACTGAGACAATGAAGTACATCAGAATTCATCAATAGAGCTTGTTTAGGAAAGAACACCGTGAAACGTGGCTGAATGTCTCATATACCCCAAAATAGAAAATAAAGAGCCTAATTTCAGTTTAAAGAAAAGCAATTTTTTCCAATTCAAACAGTACACAAAAACTAGACTGTTATTCCCCTATAGCTGCCATCCTGGATTATACCAAGTGCCCAGGAAAGCAGGCACAAAGAGGTGGGTCCATGTACATGCAGAGGGAAAGAAGGGGGGGCGTGAAAAGCATCGTTATAAGTTTAGAAAAATCCTACAAATATCCAAGTATTCTTCCTTCCCTAACTTCCTTTTCCCAGATAGTTTCTATGATAAAGACCTTCACAGACATTTCCAGGATGATTTATCAAGCCATAAAACATTATCTGTGGTCACTTCTATAACAGATCTGTGCATACTTGACAGTGTTCCCCAATAAGGCAGAAGATTCTGCAGTTAATCTGAGAACCCCCATTAAACTGAAATTAAACAGTTTCTGTGGAAGTCTGTTAGAGATGGAGAGTTCACAGCAATCTGTTCTTGCAAAAAATCCTGAGAACCACTGACTTTAGATATTTCTGTATGAAGTATCATTCTAAACACGGGACGAAGCCAAAACAGTGTAATTGCCCAAGCAGAAAAATGTTAACTCCCTCCCTGGTATATACTCTGTAAGTTGCGAGAGACTGATTTATTTTATCCAGCTCGTAACACATCCTCCTTTCTGCCCTCTCATACTCACAGCTTAAAATACTGAATAGACATGAACGCATTTCTGGTCCTTACTTGCATGGGGAACTTGAGAATGATCAATTAAGTCCACATGTTAAATAATCTGTGAAAAGACAGCAAGCTACTTCAGACCATCAGATAACTGGCCTGGCCTTTAAAAGCTATAGGCTCTTTTGATGGGCACCACGAGACGGCTAACACCACAGAGCAAAACAGTAGGTTTTGACAGTTAAAACTGCACACAAAAACTAACTCTACATTGAAATATACAGTTTATTTTCTCAAAGTCAAGCAATACCATTTGTCAGTAGGTAAGTGTTAAGTGTCGGGCAGGAAAACTGTACATTTTCACTCTGGGCTGCAGGATCCAAACAGCTGGAGAAACATAGTGGAAATCTTTCACTATACAAAGAGATCTAGAACTGAGAACAACATAAGGTGAAGAAACAGCCATCCCCAGGATGCCAAAGGCAAAACATTAGCACCAGATTTTTTCAAAAAGCAACAGTATAGCTATTTACAGATTTACATATAACATGGGGAGACAACCATCTTCAGGTTCCCAGGGTGAGAGATTTTCAACACAGCTTTAAAAAAGGAAAGGAGAGAGTGGTGTCTATGCAACTGTTCTGTGAAAAGGATAACATACATAGCATTCACAATATTGCTACCTTTTATCAGAAAGATCTAAATCAAAGTACTGTATACAAACACATTGTAATTATATTATTATTCACATTTCACATACACATTTCAGAGTAACCACAATACGTAAAATTTTTAAAATGCCACAGATAAAACAACGCACACTTTTCTCCAAGCTAAAAGACAAGCATAATTTATTTGGGAATTGTTTAATTTTGGGTTTGTTATGGTTAAGGGATAAGTTTAAGGACAAAGGGATCACTTGTCCTAGGAACATAGCAGCAAATAACTGTGAGATGCCAGAGACTACATTTCTGAACTAGGAGGAAGAAACTAAGGTCAGCTGTAGGTCTTGTAAAATGGTAGCTCCATTTGACCTCAACTGACACACATCAACATAATTTCATTAAAGATTTGGTCCAGGTATACAAAGTAGTGCACTAGAAGGGGGGCAACAGTCCTTTTAATGTTTGCACCTGTCTGCAAAGGAACTGGTTCCAGAAGATTTTTG